TTCATCCTCCAGGATATTTTCAAGGCGTTGAGCTATAATTGGCAGAAGTTCCTGGCCATTTGCGAGACACATGTTGGCATCCTCGAAGACAAGAGTGAGTAGGAGCCTACCTCTGGCCGTTCAAGTAGTCCATTCGCTAATCCCCAACTACAGTCTACGAAAACCCTGCTGACGAGTCCCGCGCCCCCGAGCTCTGGAAGAACAGCGCACAATGGCTCAAGATCGAACGCCTCATCTACATCCACGTCGACGTCATCAAAGAAATGGTCACGCATCTTCATGACCTTGCTGGTGCCGACCCAAAGGAATCGTCAGACCAGCCTTGGCTAGGCTCCGTGCCAGACGAGCTAGATAAACTGACCGGGCAGTGGGAAAGAGATGTTATCCTGCCTACAACCGCTCTGTCAGACCTCATGTACAAGAGCGTGGGTATCAGGGATGCCCGACACTCTTTGCAATTAGGCTTGAGTATGTGGCGGTTGAGTTGGATCACGTTCATGTACGTAACCCCTAACCGCCTATCCCATCGGCTGTCCAAACTAACAAGACTAGTTTCCTGCCCTTGACCTTCACCGTCGGTTTCTTCGGCATGAACGTTTCCACGTTTTCGGAGAACCCACCGCTGAAATGGTGGTTCATCGTTTCCATCCCCGTCCTTGCCGTCGTCCTCATTCTCTGGTACGGCGTCAAACATAATCTCGCTAGCCAACGCCAGAACCCCATGCGCAGAGGTGTTTATGAATCGTTGTATCATGAACTTGCTACTGCGCAACCATCGCTATGGAGCAGAAGCGGTCCGCGTGACGATGTCATACCAGTAGGGCGGTGGGCAGGCATCAAATGGCGACTTATCACCCGCTGGTTCGGCGAGGACAAGGTCAAGTTAGGGAAGACTGTAGATGGAGGTGAAGATTTCGGCGTCGTCGGCAGAGTCCGCAGGGCGTTGGCTAGAAGGTGGTTGAGCGAGCTGGCTGTTATGCGTCTTCCCCAGCAACCTTTACCACTGTCACCAACCGAGAAACCGGGCGGTGATGAACGGTCGAGTAGCAGGAGTTCTGTCCGGAGCGAAGTGGCATCTTGCATGATTCAGCCTTTTGAGCCAAAGGAGGGGGGGGCCGTGGCTGAGCTGGCGAGGGTTGCCACGCCCGTTGCGCTGGCGGATGCGGATCCTACGGCTGCCAGTCGGCTGCAAAGGAATGAGAGGGGAGAGAGGATGGGCAGTCTGAGTCCGCATGGGAGGAGAGGGAGTGCGGCGAGTAGTGATGGGGCTGGGGTGATGGTTGAAGAGAAGGGAGGGAGCGGGGATGAGCGCGAGCCTAGGATGCGTGATAGACGGGCTGGTAGGGAGAGGACATTAGATGTACCGAAATGAGATGGGTGACTTAGGTAGACAAGCTATCTTGCCAGTGTTCAAAACTAAGGAAACTCTGTTCCATGACTTACATAGCAAAACTGTCACACCTGGGTTTCCAGATTCCATGCGTGCGAATCTCGAGGATTTTGTCCCGTAAAGATACACACTACAAATCTGTCGTATGGCCTAAGCTCAGGGCACGCTCGACGTATAAATACTTCTCTCGTTGCGTTCTTCACTTTCTTCCATTAATTACAACATCCATTACGAAATAAAAAACCCAATTAATTGACCATATGGACTTTTGTCCTCTTTCTCCCAAAAACGAAGCCAAAACTTGATGTTCTGCGTCATGTCTTCCTCCGAAAAGATACACCAAACCAGGAATGGCTGTCTCTCTCTCTGCTATATCTGAATTTAGAAACAAGGTCGACACCAGCCATGAGCCAGCTTGAGTTACGATCTCGTTTCCAAAAGCATTGACGAAATGGGACATGGTGGCTCTGGTTTTCGAATGATACCTATACTTCCATTACGGGAGGAAGAGGTGCACCGAATGTAAAACATCAGCGTTCCATACTTACACCACCTCTGCCGGCCAAACTCAGCGCCTGCCAAGTATACAAAACCTACTGGATGCGCCTGGCGTCTTTCTTCTACACACCCACATTATTCTTCATGACTTCAAGAAATCTGCATCATACCGAATGGGTGCGCCGCCTCCTCGTTCCTCAAGACATGAGTACGGCTGGCAATCATGTGCTGCCTCATCTTTCCAAAACTCTATCTGCTACAATGGATGTGATGATGCCTCCTCATTTCCGTCTCTGGAAGCGAACATATCTGGAACATGGCTGTTCTACCACCTTCTTTGGATCGAGACTCCCATAAATTGAATGTATAAGCCTACTGTGAGGAAAACATATCCAAAGGATTGACTGTGAGATTCGTAGTTCGCGTTGGCTTTCTCTTGCTGCTTACGGCGATAGGAGGGAGCAGCGCACTGGCACTACACCAAAAAGAGAAACAAACATCTCTCTGGAGCATACCTAGGTAGCTCTCTTTATAAGTTCTCTTCTTAGGAGCCAATGTAAGCTGCAAGGTCAGGCTTGACATTTCTATACATATTTAGTTTTTCCCTTATATGCGGTGTTGGAACTCAGGCCAAAGAACTTAGTCAGTGTGTTGTACGCTCCATACTCTCCAAAAGCAACATAAACATCGAAACATGTCCTGTGTTCTATTTTTTTTCTCTGAAAAATGCAGTGGAGTAGTGGTTGTGAACTCCACAAAAGCGTCGAAACACCAATCATGTTACCAACCTACCAGATTGTCTTTCGATGGGACCGAAATAATAAAGTTTGGAAGCCTCAACCACAGTACATTTGAATCAGGTGAGAAATGCCCAAGAGTGATGTTACTTCGGACTAGTGGCGACTGTAACAGCAAAGACCGGCTAAGGTGATGCTTGGTCTAGGAATGACGTTTATGGTCACCAACTCAAGGGAAATACGGGTGCCTTAGCGTCTCCACTGTAGGCAAATAGGCAAGTGACTCGTTAACGGAGTGGCGGTGCAGCTTTCCTACACAGAGAGTTGACCGACGTACTGCCTGTGTGTAAGATAGGCTCAATGCGCTCTGAAGGTCGTGAGACTACTCACTGTTCGCATCGTGGGAGAGGCGTAGAGGTTATATCCAAATATAGCGACATGTGGACCGTGGTGGTTGATTTGCAGTTAGTACCCGGAACAGCCGTGTCTTCATGTTATGTTGCTTGCTGCAAAGGGCAGTCTCGGCAGGCGATCTCGGCCTGTTTATGACGTGCAACTCCCCGAATCAGCAAACCTTCCCGCACCTACGGCTATTTACCGTATTGACGATTTAATTGATCGGCACGACTATGCATTGCTTAAGGGTGCAACTTCGTGTTGGCACAACTGTTCGTCGTATATAAGGTATTCGTCTTTGCTGTCTATCTTCTGCATCTTCACACGCCCACTCTACACGCTCACCAAACAAGCCCCTACGTATCTATTCTTAATACGAACCACTACAACCTCGACTTCACAATGGTCTCTTTCACCGCTCTCGCTCTTCTGGCAACTTCTGTCATGGCCGGCCCTGTCGCTCGCCAGATCGCAATTCCCGAAAACTGGGATTGGCAAGTTGAGAACTGGGAGGCTGGTTGCGGTCGATCCGGCTGCTACTACAACTTCAACGTCACCGTACCGACCATCAAGGGAGAGATCGCAGGTGTAAAGGCGTACTGCCACGGCTACGAGCAGGGATATGACAACAGCTTCACCGTCCCTTCAACATACGAGACATGCCAACTGCTCGAGGGTGTCAACAACGGTGTTGCGGCTAGGTTTTCTTTGAGGGAAAACGATGGCCAAGGATTTGGACCCAAGGAGATTGAGGTCAGCTTCCTATACGCTGGATATGAGGACCGGTAAGTTACCATTCCTATTAGGAAATGTGACCAAGAACGTACGCTGACTTGACATGACAGCCCTGCCTACAACTTCTCCGGCAGCCACGAGGCTAGGTACAACCAGTTTGTTACACCACAACTCAACTTCACCATCACCCCTACGAAGGTGTTCGGTATCGCATAAACGTGGTTGTGTGAATCGGAATGGCAGAGAGCTCCTTTAGCAACCTTATGTCGAATAAAGACCACAAAGAATAATGTTAATGATTATAAAGCGAACCAAAATGGAATACCTCGCCGTACACGCGCGCATAACATGATGGTCGTAATTAGACATGCCTACCTAGGTAGTCTTTGAGCCCGATGTCGTACTATGCTTGATATTTAGAAAACATGTTGAGCTGTATGTAGCCGACAAACGATGGGCAGAGGTTGCTCAACACCGGTTACGAGCCGCCGCACTGACTGACAACGCCTGGACACTAAATTCCGGAGTTTAGGAAATAGTGCCACTCGCGAATGAACCAAAGGCACAGACGGCGACGTCGAAACGTATGCGAACGTAATGCAAGTCATGTTCGATAAACGACAGACACCATCCTTGAGCAGCACTGTTTTTTGTGCATTAGAAGGGGAGCCTTGCGCATGCGTCGTACGGCAATTCGCGCACGTCGAGCGGTGCCAATATACTTAGGTATGAAAGATCCATGGATGCGCCGGTTGTTCCACTAGCTTTCGCCGCTGAATACCCCCTTGACTTCTAGCGGCGAGTTGTATGAATCCATGCGGGACATGAGCGGAACGTATCCGGTTGAGTACAGCAAAAAAACTTATGACGAGACACGTCTCCGCTAGTGTCCTAGCCGAGATAGATTGGTAGATGAACATCGCATGCGCCGGCCTCTTCGACTTTTACAGTACATCCTTATGAAGGTATCCATTGTCTAGAAGACTGATATCAAAAAAAAAGTGGATAGCTATTCAATTAGAGGCGCATGCATCTTGTCCAGGGGTTCCGCCGGGGGAGATAATACAAATTGGTCCTTTTCGGCCTAGCCTAATCTCTGCATCTCACCTGTCCACATCCGCTAGTGGAGCTGACAGCGCTTCGCCCCAGCCTCGCGCCTCAGTTGCCTAGTCTTCGAAAGCGACACCCCCCGACTGTTTCAATGACATTTCTCCACTCCCGCAGACCAACCGCACCAAGCCGGCATGTCGCCGAGCATGCGAAGACGCCAGTCTCCAGAGACTACCCAGGATGTCCGGCACAAGATACGCGACAGTTTTCATCGTCACATTACGCGTCCCAAGGACAAAGAGTACGCTAACTACATCGGTTTCGAACGTATCAAACTCACTTGGGCAGACCTTGAAACGATCGAACAAGCTCTTCCTTCGATCGATAAGAGCCAAGCGATTCTTATACAGCAAAATCTCCTAAGGTTCCTTTCTATTCTCATATATCTCAACGCCGCAGATTGCCTCGATAACTTCCATGACCGCTTCTTTGACCAGGGCGGAAGGCCTTTGTATTCAGATGAGGTTCTTCCTCTTCCCGCCGAAAGCATACCAAACATCGGGGATAACTTGCTCAAAGACAAGTTCTTCGAGGATCAGCACATCTTCACGCCAGTCAGTATTTGGTTCGTTATAGACTACAAACAGTATCATCTCTGACATATCACAGGTGATAATTGATACGACTGAGGATTTCATGCAGATAGAACCCATGCGCCGCTTACCTTTTGAGAGCGAGACTGATCATCCGACCAAAGGCGCCTATGGCGAGGTTAACAAGGTCACGATATCAGCGTATTGTTTCAAAACCAGAAAAGGGGGCATTGCTTCTGAGGTAAAGCCAGGCACTTCGCGGACTCTACACTTGACTAACAATAGCAGTCAAGAGACGTTGCTTGCAAGCGCTTCCCATCTGTCTACGACGCGGAGCAAGAAGCGGAGACACTGAAGATCTTGAAAAACAGCACCACAAAACATGATCACATCTGCTTTCACTTCGCCGTTCTGCGGCATAGAAAGGAGCATATAATTTTGTTTCCATGGGCGGATAAATACGATCTGAACCTCTTTCTCGATGAAGGAACGGGCACTTACAAGTTTGAAGACGTGTTCAGTCGTGTTTCACCTGGGTCTGCTCTGTCTGCCATGTGTACGCAAATGGCAGAAATTGCATCTGCACTGGACTGGCTCCATGAAAACATTCAGGTCAAACGAAAGCACGTTCTGCTTGCGCATCTGGACTTGAAACCAGACAACATTCTCATCGATACTAACACGAATTCGATCGTAGGAAAGTGGCTTTTGACTGATTTCGGCATCTCTGCCTTCCAGGAAAGGGATAAAGGAGGCCATTCGAAAGTCTTCTCTATCAGAGACTACGTAGACGCGAAATGGACGATGAGAGTGGATCCGCCCCGTGGATTTGGGACCTATCAGCCTCCGGAGGTCAACCGTCTGGAGCCAGTGTCTGCAGGAAGAATTAACCAAACACTAGACCGCCACGTTGGTCGCAGCGGCGATATCTGGTCCTTTGGGTGCATCTTCGCCGAAGTTCTTGCTTTCTCTATGGGCGGCCGTGGAGCTGTGAACAGCTTCAAGAAAGCACGTATAAGCGGCACAGACAAAGGGAACGACTTTTTTTGGTCGCACGATGGAAAGAAATACGAACCTCGAAGAAGTATGCTGGCTTGGCTGTCGAAGTTACAAGATATGTATCCGGATGCATATTCTACAGGAAACAGTGTCAATAGTTCGGTTTTGGCCATCAAGTTTATCCTCAAAGCGAAGAGCCAAGATCGACCAAGCGCGTTGAAGGTTCGCGACAAAATTTCTGATCTTGTAGGTTTGGCGGAGGAGGAGGAAAAGGAACGAGAAACTCGAATGGCACGGACGACAACCATGCCCGGACGGAAAGAAAGCCCTACCCAGCAACGTCTCGACAACCAGAGTAGTGCGGTCATAGACTTGCTCCCTCGCTTCGAGTTCGAGCGCGAAGAGACCCATCCAGAGATAGCGCCGACGACGACAGTCACAAAAATCGAAGAGCATAACCAGACCTCCTCAGGTAGCGGACAACCAGCCATCAACCACAAGTTTGTCACGCCGCAGAGCATACTTGATTTCGGTCAGAAGTTACGATCAGTTGGTACTATATCATGCGACAAGAAAGCATCTGAACGCACGACTGTATCCGCTTCTTTGTGTTTCTCGGGGCGTAGTCTTGCCACCATCACAAAGAGTGATGATTCCATATCGTCGTGCACTCTGAAGAGTTACGAAGTATCCTTGGAGTCGAGAAAAGTAGGCCGAGAAACTAGGTCAATACTTCTAGATCAAGGAGTGACATGGAAAAATGTCTTGGTATGCGGAGATACACTTGCTGCATGGGGCGATTCGTCGAAAGACGAGAAACATGTATGGTTTTCGAGAGATGATTGTACGATCAGCTGATAATCAATTTAGCTATTCATCTTACAAGCGAATCGGCAGACAACATTGAGCTCAGAGAACTATCCATGGCTTGGAGAGCTGTTTCAAGTTTTGGTTTCGATGGAAGGATGTGTCATCATTGTTTGCCACAAGTGCATATATTTTCTTCATCACGAGTAAGAATCACGATCATCCTTCAATCTCAATCGACACAATTGTACTGAAATGCCAAAGAAGAGGTGGTGCCCTACCGCAATTACTCGTCCGGAGTAAAGACGAAACAGATTACATACATACGGCCATCGAACCCATCCTGAATCTGCTCTACGTTTGGTCGAGTGATGGTAAATACGAGTGTTTGCGCCAATGGCGCATAGAAACAGTTGACAACGTATGGAAACCTGTGCCACATCATAGGTATAACTTCAGAGCTGTAAGCTGGCCATCTCTTCTTAATGATTTGGGACTGACATGAAGTAAAGCAAGATGGAGTTGATGCTCGCACGAGGCTATATCCATTCCAAGGACGCGAAGGCTGCGTCATAAGATCGAGTGGGGGTAGCTTTTCTTGCAGTCCGCCGACAACGGGAGCAGGTCCACCCAGAAGCAGCGATGCTGTCCTCAAGTCTAACCCAGTCAACGTTGAGACATCGTCCAAGGTCTGCGTTTTCGGGGGATTCTCAATGCTTTTCACAAAGCCCGGAAGGTGGAGAAACAACATTGACATCAAGGAGCGACGAATCAACCAAACCAGCGGCGAGACAGAGATCATGCCGAAGGGTGAGAAGAACCAGCTCAAAATCAACTTGAAAATTGCACCGAACGCCGTCACTGATATGAAAGTGGCTTTATTCTCAGACAGTAACGAGGTTGTCATCCTTGTTCTTCAAAGAGATGGAGGGTTGTTCTTTGTGCCGATAATCGAGCGGCTTGATTCCGCTGGTATTGTCTAATCCATACTACGCCATCGTGCTGTAGGACTCGGAAGGTTTTTCGCCGCGAATTTCTCTCGTTTCAACTCGCTGCTTCGTTCGCGTTTTTATGCAAACATAGATACCCCCAGTTATTAATGTTAGAGGGAGCCACACTGCAACAAAAATCCAGAAGTCCGGTGAAATCCTCAGTCTCCCTGTTTCTTCATTGAACACAAAGACGTTCATACCTAACAAAGTCTAGAATATGCATTAGCATTTTCTGACCGATGCGATGCGGTAAACTCACGGCGATGAAGCTCCCAGGGAGATACACAGCGGACACGAAAGTAATGATCTTGACGGTCGCGCTATCGTCAACAGTATCCTGTGTCAACTTGTTTAGGCTACCAGTTAGATCTCGGAGTTCTTTTCCAACTTTCGCGGACTCGACAGTCAGATCTCGAAGCTCCTTCTCGACTTTCGCAGACTCGAGTTGGTTGTATAACGACAACGTATAGCCAACAAGATCGATCAGATTCTGTATGCGCTCTGCTAGAGAATCAGCACTTGCGATATACCCACCAAACTTCGTGCTATGTTTGTCTAGGATGTGTCTGGAGCATGACGACTCCGCGAAACAGTGCTCCAGCCTCTCGACCAGATCTAAATTACCTGCACAACAGGCACGCGCAAAGACGATATGATCCTTGGCGTTACGCAGCTCCTGAACACATTCAAAAGCTGTGCTCGGCTCTGTTCTTTCCGGCCTCATGACCATGGCTCGATTGTTTTCTTTGTTGAACCGATCGCCCAAATCGCGCAGATACCAGCGCCATTCATCAGCGTAACATGTGAGAAGAGTTTCGTGGATTCTAGTTGGGTTTTCGCAGAAGTTTTCCCTCGCGGCGTGATCTTCCTGCAGTAAAGCCATTGCATCTTGAAACTTGGGATCTATAACTGGATGAAGCACAATAATCAGATCTGTTCCATTCGGGATATGTCGATGGAAAACCCCCGTGTGACGAAGAGACCATTTGACTGGCCCACGTCTGTTGTTCTGTTCGACATACCGCAGTTGATACAAGATTTCAACGGCTCCAGATACGTCTGTACGTATGTTGGCATAGTTGCTGTTCCCTTCCGCGAGATTAGGCTCCTGACCAAAGGAGGCAAGTATATCATCGAAGTCTCGTGGTATATCATAAACGCTCATCAAACATTCGAGCACATCAGGAGTAATTTCCAAGGGAGCGGTCGTTCTATCGGAAAATATGGAACTGTATTAATTAGAACGTGGCTCTTGTATATCACACGCAAGATCAAATGAGCTCACATTATTCTCACTCGAATGTCTTTTACAGCCTTCCTGCTAAGCGCTGCGCGAGCCGAGCTCGGGTGTGAGAGATGTGTCGACGAAACGTTCTCTGGAAGATATCAGAATAGCCACTTTCACTACATTTCACAAACTCTGACCTCTAGATATGTCGGTGATGCGAATGTTGATGTCAGCATCGCCGGCACCCAGTAGCGCTCTTCGCGTAGGAATGGTCCAGGCCCGTGGAGTGGAATCGGGTACGGCTAACATTTCGCACGACTGAATTCAACGTTGAAGGCACACTGGGATAGCTCACTCGTTGAAGTCGCGAGCTCATATGCATCGGTGCCGGTGAGAGCCTGTGGAATCAGGCTTATGGCATTGCCTTATCGGCAACTAAGTGCTTACTGAACTCATAGCCACATCGCGCAGCCACTTTACTGCCGTGCCGCATCAAGACATTGTATCGCTAAGAGATTATGATCTAGCGCCTGCCAGCACACCAGAATCGCTGTTCCATGACTTTCGATGTAGCTAATCATGCATACAAGCCGTACCGAGCTCCCTCCATAGATTGTAACCTAGCACTTTCTTTCTCTACGCATAACATTGACCCACTTCCTGTTGAAGAACATTAGTTGTGGGAATATTTGTATGATGTATAACTAACTCAACCTCTTCCTACGGCATGTTAGTCGAAATCACGCGCTCGAGTCAGGACACTTACCGAGCCAATCAACTCTGGAGCTTCAAATGACCACCTATCCCGCCCAAACTGGTGAACGGTCAGCCTTATCACAGCCTACATTTTGTCAGACAGTTACCTCAATTTGAAAGCTAAAACCAGGATGAGCGCTGTCATATTTCGCTTTCAAGAATTTTTCCAGGTCTGCGCGAACGTCAAAATATCTTGACTGCTGGGTTTCTAGCACGTTGAGAACCATGACACAGACGGGGGTGCTGAGAAGGCTATGGCGTTCCTGCACAAGGGGTTGCTTCCTCAATTTATGTACGTGTCAGCCTAAGCCGCAATAAGCCACCTACCTATACGAGGCATACCTGCGGTGTTGTCCAAGCAAAGATAGGCTAGTAGCTACGCATTTAGTTAGTGCTTCCACAAAAAACAATGAAGGACTGATCTTGCCGCACACTGTATCTAAACAATCAGCACCTTTCATTAATCCGCTGTATCTTGTGAGAGCACAAGCGATGATCGTCAATTGTTGTCAAGTGACTCCCTAGATGCAATACACGAAGTATCGGTGAAGAGAGTCCCTTATCTTTGCGGTGTTTCTCATTCGCGAGTATATGAGGATGGAATGTATTGAGAGCCTGTGAGTGGCTTGTCTGCTATGCGTCACCGGTGAAGGTAGTTAGGCTACACAACATGCACAAACGAAACCGCCACCACACAATCCGACCAGCCTCAGCTGGGGTACGCGTCCTTCAGCCGCCACTGGTAAACAAGCTACCTCAGCCTTGCCCGAATACTCTCGAACAGCTTATATACTGTGTACTGCCTTTTAAGGCAGTTTGCTGAGCAATCAACATTCCTACAACTGATCTCACCATGGCCAATCGGCTAGTGCCAGAAGCTGCACTAAAGTAGGTACTTTTGCGGAGCAATGAACAACGTCGGCGCTAACCATACATTGCCAGGCGGAACCTCCAAGGATGGATGATATTTGTACGTCCCAAACACCTCCAGGAAGAAGCTTAGGTTCAAGTAGAATCACGCTGCGTATACTCTAAAGTTGACCATGAGAGCTGATGAACAACTTGTTGCAGTTCATTGTTATTAGTTCTGTGATCGGCGCAGGCGTGTTCAACAACGGTGGATCAGCAATCAAAGTTGCAGGTCCTGCAGGTGCTCTTGTTGCCCTGCTAGTAATGTGTGGGTAGCCTGTTATGATGTTCTACACCCGTCAGCTCATAGTGTCACAGGCGTTATCGCAATTTGTGTTGCGGAATGCATCAGCGAGCTTGTACAGCTCTTCCCTGCGCCAAACGCCATCGTTGAGTACATTCGACACCTTATCGATGAGGATTTTGGCTGGGCTATTGGCGTTGCTTATTGGTATTTGGTAGCTCATAATGAGCTATAAGCTGGTACTAACGACTAAAAGGCTTACGTACTCATCGATATTCGCTGCTCAAAACATGATGGCTGCAAGGTTGAGTGAGTACTGGGGAGAGAAGGAAGGACAAGTCTGGCGACCCATAATCTTCTACTTTGTTGCGCCTTGTAGCATGCTCGGGATTAATATGTTTGGTGTCAAACTTTTTGGCTGGATCGAAGCGATCGGTGGTATTCTGAAGATCACTTTAGTCTTTTTCACCACCATCGTCATGTTTGCCATGAAGATTGCAAGTAAGTCTTCCACCAGCTTCAGAAAGTAGGAGTTACTGACAACGTCGTCTTAGTGGGGAGTAACAGTAAGCTGAGCCCTAGTTTGTGAGTCCACGATCTGACGTGCGCAGATCTCCAAGCTGGATTTCAACACGAGCAGAACAAACCTGATGCTACTGTATACACTACTAATAATCTCGCTGCTATCTGGTGAGTTTGATACCGAAGTATCGTCAGCACGATCTAATGAACGATTCCATAGTTACGTTATCCCTATCGTTGCTTTTGGTTTCATCGGCATTGAAGCAGTTGCAGTTACGGCGTTCGAAGCTGCGCCTGAATCACTACGGAGGCCTTCCAAGTTCATTGCATACTTTGCGTCAATCTTGTACTTGGTATGCATGCTCAGCCAGACCTTCAACGTTACTTGGAAGCACCAAGATCTGCCTGAAATTTACAGTGGCATTGGTGAGGTCAATAAGAGGGCCGAAGACAACACCGATCCTGCACCCGTGACAACAATACTCGCGGTCATAGCCGTCCGAGAATGGGAAAAGTTTCCACTGGCTGGGTTCTTGAATGGGGCCATCATCTTTAGCGTACTTTCCGCTAGCAACACCGCTTTGTACATTGCATCGCGTACACTTTACGGCATGGCGTTCCGGATGGACGATCGCGGCCTTGCCAAGAAGCTTCGACACTTCTCCAAAATAGATCGTACTACGGGGGTACCACTCCCTGCTTTGTTCGCGTCGTGGATATCATTTATCTGGGTTCCCTTTTTGAGCCTAGCTAAGGACGGCTATGTGAGATATGTTAGTATAGATACACTGGTGCAATTCTCTGCTGACAACCTGCTCAGACTATTGAAATCATACAAACAGCCTCAAGTGTTGGTTGCTTAATTGTCTGGATCGCGTTGACTTTTGCATATCTGCGATATTGGTACTGGTACGTAACGTATAGCAGAAATTTCGTTCCAGAGCTGACCGCTATTGTAGGCAGAGGAAATTTGACGATAAGTTGGGTCGTAGTGCTGCATACAAAAAGTATCAAAGAACCCTCGATACGTACAGTCCCCACACGACGCTCATTTCTCTCCACCCCTTACCCGCCATAGTGGGCTTTGTGGGCTGCTTAGTCGTCTTTGCGTTCTGCAGCGCCACATGGTGGTATACGGAAGCCACTGTGGAGAAGGTGTTTATCGCCTATGCAGCACAAGTCATTGTGGTCACCATATTCCTGGTTTTGAAGGCGATGCGATACTTTCGAACCGGCACTTTCAAGTCTCAACGGATCGACCGGGGTAGCTTTGCTGGTTATCTTGAGAGGCTGAATGATCTCCAGAGACATGTCAAGAAGTCATCCACCAACACGTCGACCCCAAGTGATCAGTCTTCAACGCATTCAACGACAACAAGAGACCAAGCGATGGGATATGAGCTCGATGAGAATTTGGTTAGTAATAGACGGGAATAGAAGGGCGCGGTAGGCGTTGAGGCAAGGACAACGTGTTCAGATAATAGCACATGGAACTGTATTACCGAGCTGCGTTTGGGAGGAACGTGAATTCCTCAAAATTTGTATCATGTTTGGAAGGATTACAAGAGAGTAAATACAATATGCAGGCTTTTGTGCATCTCTGAAGGCTCTCTCAACCTGACCGAGATTGCAAGGATGTAGTGAACAGTACGCATGCCATCGAGAGCCTATGGATAAGGCACATTGGCAGTATCACTCCTCAAACGATAGTCAGAGTGTATCTAGCAAAATCTCGTCTTATACATACAAATGCTTCGATCATCGTAGCTGAGAATATCTAGTCTTCTTTTAGACCAAGACAACCGTTCGTTTGATGCTTATTAGGGATGTAGTAGAGGTTAAAAATGAGCTTGAATGCTGAGTCTGACGTTTACGGGCGACACTTCTGGTAGAACTGAGGTACTCAAACATCTTTCAACCGCTTAATACTGTGTTAGAGAGAAGAAAAAAGCTTCTCTTAAGAGTACTTCTTTCCACTATAAAAGAGTATATTAAGAGCTATAAAGATATAGATAGAAATCTTAGAAGACTACAATACTGTTGATTTCTGTAAGTTCTCTCATTACAAGGTTATGTAGACTGTAAGGTAGAGCTTGTTGTTTCTGTATCTGTCTGCTATTTCCCTTATATAAGTTGCTTACATCTTTCTTGTTTCACGCTCTTGCCTCCTGCAGCCAAGATGAGTGAGCATCCATATATTGTCCGCAACGGTTGTTTCATACTATTGTGATCGTGCATTTACCGTCATCACCTATTGCCTCGTACTCTAACCATGATTCGTTCGTGACGTGTGCGAGCTGATCGCAATCCTCTTGCCCGAATGTTCCAATGCCCATTACAGCGATTCCCACCCTTTGGAATTGACCACGTGTGACTCCAGTAGGTATGAGAAGAAGAGTGTTCAATAAACCATGATCTTCGAGGGGTAAACAGTGTAGTTGGGACCATGCGAGAGGACGATCAAGATAAACATGCGCACCACCCAAGCTACTCCACCTTCCATTGATATAAACATCCCATCCCTTGGGCCTTGGGCGGATCTCAATAGTTGCCAACCAACCGGATAGTTGCAAAGCAGCGCTAATGACCGCACCTGTCCGATCCGCTGTCGCGGTTCTGATGTCGCAACAGACGATGTCGACTAAGAACTGCCCCCTCCACGCAATCCAATCTACTTCCCCGTCCATACATGCCCATGACCACGAAGGCGCACGATAAACGATAGTATCTGCTTCCGGGTTGGGTATGGATGGTTCGCGAATGTACCAAATCAACTCTGGAATGAGGTCAAAAGCCCAGAGTCCTGCCCAGTAGTCAATCTTGAGGAGCTGCTCCATGTGCTTTGCAATACCGGATAGAGCAACTAGCTTGTCGCTCGGAAATGTCAAGTCGCACATGTTGTAGTTGCTCACGATGTGTTTCCATAGCTCTCGGAATGTAGTCGTGTTGAGTTTATCATTCTCATCAGTAGAGATATACACACTCTCACTATCGTCAGTCCGGGGGAAGCCAAAGACTTCGATGGAGGCGGAATACGATCTCAATTCTGCGTGGCTCACCCACATGTTTGGTGGTGGTCCGGTAGGCCAGGTTTCACAAGCATCCAAGCCATGACATTCCCAAAATAGCTGATCACCACAGAGATGAAGCGCTCTGGGAGCCAAAGCGAGTTCCTGAACAACCCATGCGCGCTTTTTCAGGGGTGTGGATATGAAGTTGTCCGCCCAGTAGTTCATATTGTAGAGGTAATAAGTGTCGTTGGGATAATCGGTCCATGTAGTCTGAATGAGGTAGCGCTCAGCAGTAGAAACTCTTTCACGAAAGCAACCGGCATCGCTATCGACCGCTATACTGGCTGCAATGTTGAGGAAGCTATGACGGTAAACTTGGCTCATGAGTGCTGCTTCCTGCTGCCAGTCTTCCTTGGAGTCCTGGAAGATACAAAACGAGTCTATCCACAGCAACTTGATTCCAAGTGACTTCGCGGCAAATACAGCGTCCTGAAATGTCTTCGCCAGTTCAGACACGTCCACACCATCTCTGAAGCGTTGGAACGAATCTGAGGTTAACCTCAGAGTTTTCGAGGTTCCCCAACAATGGCTGAGTGTTGCATATTGCAGGAGAGTATTATCTAGCTCAGAACACAGCCGCAACCGCAATTTGTTAGCCTCTGGCTGGTCAATCTCGAGAAGACGCGTCGGGCAGTATGTCATGGATTTGGAGCCAGATGCTTGACAACCTGTGTGAGTTTCCGTACATTTAGCTAACCACGTTCTCGCGCACGCCATACTGGCAGCCCAGTCTGATGCAGGTGGCTTATTTGCATCAGAACTCTTATAATCTTCTGTCTCAAACGTCAGCAAACAATCTCTGTCGATGAGCAAAGGCGCATACCAGTCGCAAGCTCACAGATGAAAACCCATGCACGTATGTATTCGTCCGAGTTGGCTTCAACATGCACCTCCCTTGTGCCTGTGCTGTCGTGAAATTCTTGCACTAAAACTTGCGTCGATATTTGAACATGCTCTGAGCTCGGTTGCGACAAGTGAGAGACGGGGTCGTTCCATAGAACCTGACAGATCTCACAATCCTCGAGAGCAGATCGTAGCAAGCTCTCAATAGAGTCATGGTGCTGGGTCCAATAAATTGGACACGAGCCTCGGAAGATATCGAGGCAGATCTCACACAGCATCGTGGGTGTCTACCAGATATGGCGAAAGCAGCTTGATACTACCTAGATGAGATGGTTGAGATCATCGTATGTCGCTACAGTTTTCGTAGGAGAATCGTGTTGTTGTAGAGAAGAAGAAGCCCCGATGGGTGCTAAAGCGGGGTTAACGTGAGACAGCATTGTTAGGCGTTCAACCTGCACAATCGACATCTGATATAGACTCTCTTTTATCCCAACAGATCTTGACGGACTCGAGCGGAATAACACGGACTGTTTATTTTTGCGGCCTTACTTTCTTATGCATTTTAGTAGCTTTCTCTCAGTGTCAGTTTAACTTTACATCTGGCGCATCACTCCCGTGCCTCAGGCTGAAGCGATGGATTCATCTTGGCACAAAGCCACACGTCTCCATTATCGTACGATACGACTATACGAGCTGTCAGTCAATGCAACGTAAATTTACTGGGTTTTGCTTGCTAAGTTGATACTGGTATACGTATTCTTATTCATGGGGTATATTGTACGCTATGCTCCTACGCTACAAGAAATTTGTAGAGATATGTTACAAAAAGGGGGTGATTTGCTCGCTGAGTGTTTATAAAACTGGAAAAAAGTGATTTGATGGATCCCGCGGAATACTTCCTGCCATCGAGAGAAAAGATCGTGGGACAACGTCCATATTTTGTTCATTAAGTCTTCTCGCGTCCTGTGTGCTCTAGAGCAGCAATCTACGCGACAACATCCTTCGTGGTGACATTGTCTGTCGTCATCGTCATCTCCTACCGTTCGGTCCCCACGGTGGCTGTTTTGTACTGTCTCTCGGAAACAATCCGTAGTTGTTGACGTCTGTCGCGGTATTGCCCCAATTGCCAACACTGCTTGTTCGTTTACTTCGTGTGGGTTGTCGGGTAATATTCCCATTCACATCTTTCCGGTTGAAGATACTATGAAAGCCAAGAACTTCTGGCCGGTCAAGGTCGAAAGGATCCGACTGTCGGACTGTTCGACCTGTCGGTGCTGGAGTGAAGAAGTTGGTAGAAGGTCTGCTCGGTCCCGGTTCTCCGAAGAAGATATCAGAGTCACGCGAAGCGAATGTTGATGTCGCATCCACGGTCGACAGCGCATTGAAGCCTGGTAATGCCATCGAGGAACGACGGGCGTGGCTCGGCAAGACAGCTTGGGTGGGAACAGGCGGTGCGTAAGGTGGGTCTCGGAAAGGGTTGTCTGCTGTGTAGAACGACGAAACAGGGTGTGAGCTTAACGCAGATATCGAACTCATCGTCCGTTGATGATGGTGAGTAGGTGGTTGAGCCCATGCTGGCGCAGCTCCAGGTGGATCCATGACAGATGCGAATGGATCTCGTGGCGCGGCGTCTGCAGTCGCTGCAGGAACTTGGGGTGTGACAGGCGCGCTTCGGGGGTCGGGGTTGAGTACCAATAGCTTGCTTTGCGGTCCGGGATCAGCAAATGGATTTGGCGACCCCGTGTCTTCGATGATGCCTGGGAACCGATAATTGGATGATATGCTGCTTGGCTTTTTGCGGAGCAGATTCCTCTCACTCTTCTTGCTTGATCTGCTGTTGTTGGAGCCTGCGCGCTTAACTCCGAAGAAACCTTGCGGCTCACTGCTCGATCGGCCTCTGCCATTAGAGTCTCTCGAGTATACTGATCCAACACTGGCTTGCGCAGCATGACGTTGGTAGGGGTTGCTCATCGGACCAGCCTCGCTTCCTTTTATCCTCGCAACGAATGCTCCCACCCCACTAGGTATCGTCTTCAGCCTAGCTAGGAAGCTTGGGCTTGTCTCTTGCTTCTCGTTCCATCGTACTGGTCGCGACTTCCGTTTCCGTAGACAAAAGAAGAGCAGTATGCTGATGAGAGCCAATGCAGCGACGCCACCAAAGACTCCTCCGATTATGCCTCCTATATTGCCACTATTCGCAAAGGTCAGGGGGCCGTCATCGCCACCAGTGGATCCCTCTGGAGCAATTATACCAGCCGACCCTCCAGTGGGTGTAGAGTCTACTAATGAAGTAGTTGGCTGTGGCCGTGCTTGGGCGGGCGAATCTGTCACGATAGATGGCTGTGCCCTCGTATCGGTCTCGATAGGTAATGGAGGGTTCGTGTCCTGAGTAGGACCGTTGGATATAGCCGGAGCTGTGAAGCGGGCCGGTACGCGCGAAGATACAACGAGTGACGTTGGAACAGCTAATTGTTCTGTGTCAGAGCTTGTTGGTACAGAGGTCAGAGGCACAGCTGAAGACGCTGCAGCAACTTGTGACGACAGAGACAGAGTGACCACGGCGACTGGAGAAGATTCTTCCAGCGGCGCCTGAGTCTCTGGTGGCTGCTGGGCGGCTGCCGTTGCCCGCTCTGAAGACGAGAGGGCCAGCGGTGTTACCCGCTCGGAAGATGTAGGGGCCGTGGTACTCGTACCTATCGCGGACGTTGCTGCTACTTCTGTTGTAGATGTTGTCGGCACTGCAGTTGGCTGCTGTACTGGCTGGTCGGCTGGCGTAGTTGTTGAGTCCGGTGCCGTCGAAGAAGGCGGTGGTGGCGGGGGAGGAGGCGGAGACGATGTCTGGGCGGTGGTGGTGGTCTGTATTTGCGATGTCTCTTCAGCGGCTGTGGATGTAGTGACCGCGGGAGGAGCGGCGGTTGACGGCTCTGTAGGTTTGGAAGTTGTGAGGGCCGTTCGGGCTCGTGAACGGGTACATCGTCTCCCGTTTACGGTCGTAATCGACTGTTGAGGAGTGGCCATGCGAGCAATGGCTCATGGAAAGAAACGCCGACAAGGGCTCAGAAAGAGAGACGAAGAGAGAGGTTACAGAGCGCCGCGGACGCTTTGTGCATATTAACTTGGGAAATTGGAGTTTACCGCTACGTGATGCTGAATGAATGATTAACGACGAGAGATGTTAGTAGGCGTTCGAAGAACAGCCGGGTAGTAGTCAACCGTTGGCACAGTATGTTGCGCTTGTATCCGTCTGAAACGCGGGCGGCTTCACATCGCGCTTCGGACAATGCACATGAAGCGCGCTGAGCCTCGCACAGTTCAGCGGCAACGGTATGGCCGTCTCAGCCGAAAGCCGTGCCGCCCGACAAAGCATTCTGGTAGCCATTCTTGCGGACGCGATGACATATGTGACGATGCACGATGGGACAGAAAAGTAGTGTGATGTTGGAGGCTTCTGGTGTTGCGACAACTGGCGGACGGGACGGGACGTCTGTGAGCACGTGATTGAACACCAAAAGCAACTTGAAGATGCAAAGATACTTCTATTCGACCTCTTGCACCTGGGGGGTTTCTTGGAAGCATCTTCCTGGTCCTCTTGCGATTCATTCAGTCCGAGTGACAACGATTGACAGTCGTATGCGCTTCAACGCATGAACAAGCTCCTAGCTTCTCGGCAGCTACGCTGGGTGTGACTAGTGGAGAGCAACTATCACGATCTTTTATATTAGCTTTTCGAGAGTTGGATGTCATGCATCGACATTGTGTGCTTGCGGAAGGCTTTGGAGGTAGAGCTGCTGGTGGGTGTGGAGACGTTGTTGTGCCGGGTGCGGTGCGCACGTCCAGTGTTTGAGGATCCGCTGGCCTCGCTCGACATTGACATCCCATCGCCGATTCCAACGCATCCCTAAGAATCACGGTCCCCGTACCACCATCCTTTGACTATGTTCAGCTTCGGTGGTAAGTACCTTGCTCGTTGATTCCTTACTTGGTTCATCAAGGCCACGTTGTCGGCGCATTCAAGGGCCGCATCTGCCCGCTCTTAATGGGACTCACGTCAACAACAGCATTAACAGGCGCCGTTCATCATGGCAATTGGAGCGACTCTCAATTTCGTGTATTTCTTTACTTTGTTAAGCTGCTTGTTGTAGACGCTACTTGGGATGCTTCTGTCTGTCAAGTGGATATATATCCCACACATGTTTCGTCTGAGACGTGCGCCGCACGTGCAGTATTGTTGCTGATATAGGACATCTTGTTCATAGGCAACCTACTGGCGGGGCAACATGATACAGAGAAACAGAGGTCGCCACCTTCGAAACCGACACCCGTCACGTTTCCTTCCCTTGACCCGCCCGAGCCCTCGACAAACGCGCCGCCAGCTTCCTGGACCCAACCGGGAGCCAAGATCTCAGGACACTTCCTGCGACTGAAGAAGCCGTCCGATGTCAGCGAAGACACCTTGGCCTTGCTGAACGTCACGTTTCAGCCCCAATGTAGTCTAGAAACATTATTATCATCCTCGTCAAACAACGCAGGGACGTTCTTACCCCCAAGTTCTTGGGTGCATTCGCCTGGAGAACAAGAGGCTGTACCAGATCCGGGATCTACAGCCAAACTTCTGAGCAATGGTAGAAGATCACCTGATCAAAGAGAGTTTCATATCCGGGCAAGAGAACTTCTCTTCAAGAATGCCGATGCTTTCTCGACACTCACGCGGAAGAGTAGTGGAGATCAAACACCGGTTCGATTGGCTCATTTTCGAAAGTTCTGGGAAGGTCTTGACAATCTAGCTTATTACTGGGACACATCTTTAGACGAATATCTTCCACCGGCCCAAGAAGCTAGCGATAGCAGTGGGGAAACCACAGTCTCAGGTTCCCTGCAAGAGTCCACAAAAGCCGATGGTCGGGAAACCAAACGCGAAACAGATTCAGACCGGGCGTTGATAGCGAGGCTCGGGTCTCGCACGCCTGAAGACGGGGAGCCTCGCAAGAAGGCCAAGGTAGAAGACGCTGAAAGCGAAACACGATCAACCGGGGCCCATAGCACTAATGGCACCATCAAAGCATCAGTGAGTGCACCGGTGTCTTCAGCTTCTCCAAATCGTGTACTCCCAGCTCGGGCTGCACCGCCCAAGACCCCGTGGGCGGCAAACATGGAGTCTCAGAGCAAGACAGTTGACCTCTCGAACGGCTCTTACCGAGGATATCGCATTGGGAATGGTATCGAGATGCCTGATCAGTACCGCATTGATTGCGTGCGCAGCTTCTTGGAACCTATTACATGGGCATTTGGTGTGACACTCTCACCACACCGCCGCCCTCCTGTACTCGCGATCGAGCACATTCGGTTCCCTGTTCGCATGAGCTCTGTAGCTTGGCAGGCACCCCAGGATAGGGCCAAGGCCAGGCATGGATATATGGAAGGTCCAGTGTTGGGTCTACAGTGCAGGGCAGATACTGGGTTTGGTTTGACAGGCAAGCTAAAGAAGCAGTCTACTCTTGATGCCGTGCGTGAGTTAGGTGGATTATTGTTGTTGGCACAGGAGAGAGCTAGAGAAGGAAAGTCTGAGCGCAGAGGTGGCGAGGGTAGATGGTGGACAACAAAAGAGCGCTGGGGCGGAGGACCTGGGGGCGAAGTTGGCGAGACAATCGGTACCACCGAGACACTTTCGACAGCCGCAGCTCCTAAACTTGAAGAGAAGCCCGTTGAACGGAACCGTGACGGATCCAAAGCCCGTCGCAAGCCATCACCAGCAGAGATCTGGAAAACGCTACGACCTGGGAACCCACTGTGGGATCCTAAAGTGACCTACCAGGCCATTGGTAAAGACAAAAGTGTTGAGTGGGACGATGTAGGGCACTGTACAACAGCTCTAGGAAGCTGCATCCGCTGATCCGCCACTCTAGGTTTTCATGATCTCGTCGTTGAATCACCACATCAGCGTCTTGAAACTACGCATACATCCGGCTTATCTTGTCTACATCACCGAAGGTAAGCTCCCCGACCAGGCACCATCGGATTCCGACTGGTGCTCGCCTAAACTGCAAAGAACGAGGTGGTTCGACCTATTCGATGTCGAAGATCGCACCGAAGCCATGAGAGGTATCTGGGGCGTCATGTCCTATCTCATGCGTGCGGACACGAATGATCACGATGGTATTGCTGCAAACCAGTAATCACTGGCTGTCGTCGGCATGCCTCTTCTTGCGCGGTTGGAATGGCTAATGAGGGACGGTCTGGATTCGTGAACATGGAACCCAAAAGTAAATACCGAAGCTTCATCATTCTGAAAGACCGGAGACGTTCGGGGCGCCAAAGATGATGTACAATCTCTCGACTTATTCGCAGTCTCGGTCGTTTCCAAAAAGCACCCTAATCCGGTTTCCGATTCTTCAAATCATCTACATGAGACACTGAGCTAGATCTACGAAGGCCAAATTCTTCCGTGTCACGATCAATCCAGAGATGAATCTTCGTTGCGCTTGCTTCGCGATCGATACTAATCTGGAGAAGGCACCTTTGCGGATGTGATCGTGCAGAAAATATCTCGTCAGGGTAAGTTGTTGCCTTAATGTACCCAAAGTTGTATGGCAAGATGCACAAACATACTGCGCGACGATGCAGGCATCTTTTTCTCAAGCTTGCATCCAGCCAATCAGTTCAAGGATACTAAAGCACAGCCGGCCGAAACGGCAAAGCTAATGCAACAGGGCCACAACGTGACCGGCGCGTTGCGCTTCGTCCACAATTACACGCACACCTGTATCGTTGTTGGTCAACGCTTGTTGTTTGGACGACCAATGGCGCAATCTTCTAGTGCGATTGTGTCACTAAGAATATCGATATTCTTCCACCAACACCCTTGACTAAGCTCCGCCTCGTTTGGTAGAACTGTGGCGCTTTTAGCCAGTCTGTACCCAAGGGGCGCCTGACGCAACGACGTAAGGCGCCTGTCAGATTATCGATCCATTTTGGCACTTGATGGTAGCTCAAACACTGGTCGGCAGCACAAGGTCAACGACCATCAATCGATACGCAGTCACTACCCTGGACCCACTCATTCCTAACAGTTTCTACAGCCCCCAAGAAACGCGCACAGGCCTTGAATTGTTACACCAAATCGGCGTCGTTTTCCAAGTAGAGCTCGTACCAGCGACAAGCAGGTGATGAAGCTTCCTCAATCACACGCTTGTGACCACTTCTCGTTACAAGTAGGTTTGCACAGACACTGAAACTCACCAGTGACAAGTAAACATTTCAACATATCAATCTATCACATCTGCTTCTAGTCAAGTTAGGCCATGCGCTACGTTGACCCCGGTTCCTGGTCCGATGTGGCCGCACACATGGTGTGAATCTCAGGCATCGATCCGCAAACCGGGTTTGCAGGCAATGCAAAAGTACCTATGTACCTAAGTACCTTACAGAAGCAGCAAATTCCTGGGGCCGGACCCCTTCTCTCATAATCTTCACGATGTACGATATGACTAAATCATCAACTCAAGCCGTCGGAAGCAACAGTGCAATCAGCAAACACCTTGCGTTGAAGAGGCTATTGAGATAACTGGTCACGATACAAGCTGGGTGGGAATGGCGCTCCATAGTCAGGAACGCTCCGATGACCGATCAACCCTCCTAGCGACGCCTCCACTGGGCAAGAGTAACAGTGGCTTGAAAGGCTACAACAATGAGCAAGACAGAGCGGTCAGCAGTCCATCTCGCCCGAACACGCCCTTGCCCTTCTTCTCCTCCACTGCATCGATACCCAGTCTTGTATGCGGCCCCAGATCTATATAAGTCCGTATGCGTGGCTTGGATAGACGGCATCGAAATCGATAGACTTCACTTGCTTACTACAATTTACCCAATATCAACTCAGCCCCAAAGTCAGCACGCCTTATTGCATCTCGCTACCCTTGCGGATAGGATCGATCTTCTTCTCGTCTATCCTGCCCCACCTACCAACATCACTTCCCGTTGTCCAGTTGATGGTATATAAGAGCATATACCCATCGTCTGAA